CTTGAGACCCAGAATGGGGTCGATTTGGGTGTACGTGGGCCTGAATATATTACGCAGAGAGCCTACATGGACTGACGATGAATAGGTTATCAGCAACCCCGCGGTGTTTGACGCCGTGGCGATCGAGACCATGCGGAAGCAATTCATGGAGACCGTCAAACTATCGCAAGAGAATCCCAACTTCCCTGTTGATGAGCTGCCTTATCTCCAAGCCCATACTGCTGCGAATATCATTTCCGGACCTACGATAGACGCTGTGGACGCGATCAGCTCATCCAGGGTGCATACGTGGATCGAAGCTCGATCTGCCGCTCAGCCAGATGCCGTTGCTCTTTCCTGTGCTGAACGTAACCAGCAAATGACATATGGTGAGCTTGATAGGGCAACGAACAAGATTGCTCATTATCTGTGTGACAAAGGAATCGCAGCGGGTGAAACGGTGGCGGTGCACATCGATCGAGGATTTACACTTCTACTATGGATCATCGGTATCCTCAAGGCGGGAGGCTGTTTCGTCGTGGTCGATAAAGCATTGCCGACAAGTCGCCGGCAGTCAATTCTCCGTACTTGTGAACCCGCTTATCTCGTCACCGACACTGCCACGGCTGATGAACTTCTCTCACATGTTGACAAGACTCCATCAGTCATTGTATTGGATGCTCTATTCGAGGGCGAACTTGCGAGCTATCCACTGACACATTGTAATGGGCAGGCTACAGCAGATAATGACTTGGCATACAGTGAGGATATATCGCCCATTTCTTATTACTAATTAACCGGGGTTGCTGACTTCTATTTACCAGTGGTATTCACCTCTGGTTCTACAGGACAGCCCAAGGGTATCATGGTAGAGCACGCGAATGTGGCGCATTACGTAAGTGCAGCTCGCAGCTTGGTCCATATTGGCCCTGGTAGTAGGGTTCTCCAGTTCGCTTCATTCGCCTTCGATGCATCGATACTTGAGTGGGCGGTTACTCTAACCTATGGTGCTACTCTTTGCTTCGTTGAGCACCCCAGTCTGCTAGTTGGCGATTATCTAGCCGACGTCCTGGACACGAACCGTATCAACTTCTTCCATACCACCCCATCGGTGCTCGCAACTATTCCAATCAGCAAACCGCTTCCGAACCTGAGGTTAATCTCCGTTGGGGGGGAGGCATCCTCTGCCGGATTGTTACGAGCATGGCGACGGAAAGTGAACCTCCTACATGCATATGGACCAACTGAAACCACGTAAGTTGCCCTTTCCCTCTTGTGTATATTGTCTCTGAGGGCGACTTCTTATTGTACGATTGCAGGGTGATCGTCACCTCAGAACCAATCCCCGAAGATCCTGAGAGTTCGGAGAGTCCGTCGCCTTCTGTGATCGGCAAGCCGTTCCCAAATTCCGATGTCGTGATCTGCAGCGAAGGCTCAGATGTGCCTCTGCCCATTGGGGAAACGGGCGAGATTTGCATCTTTGGGCCCCAGGTTTCTCGGGGATACAAAGGCCAGGACGAGCTCACCGCCACCAAATTCCGCACAATTGAGCTCCACGGTCGCACCGGGCGTCTTTATCGCAGTGGAGATCGAGGCTCGCTGACTGCTGACGGCAAAGTATTGATCGGTGGTCGGATGAACAACCGAGAGATCAAGCTCCGTGGCTACCGCATGGACCTTTATGAGATCGAGAAGAGCATTCTGGACCACAGTCCGGAAGTCATGCTGGTGTCTGTGCAAGTCATGGATGGCTCCCTGGTTGCCTTCGTGACTCCAGAAACCGTCGATTGCAATATTGTCCGCGGGAGGCTGATGGAAGATGTGCCCTCTTACTCTGTTCCCACTAACATCCATGCCGTCGCAGAGCTTCCGCTGAATACGAATGGCAAAGTTGATCATTCCGCGGTTGCCGAAAAAGTTCGCATTCCTACAGCCGTGGTATCCAAAGCTGGTTCTCTGCCCACAACCCCAAAGACACCGACCACCAAAGTGAAGGAGAGGAAGCTTGATGCTGATCAAGTAAGGGTTTCTTTGGCGTCTATCGTATCCCTGATGTGGGCCGATGTCTTAGGCCTATCCGAGCCCCCCGCGGAAGATGTCAATTTCTTTGATGCTGGTGGACACAGTATCCTCCTCGTGCAGCTGCACAAGCGAATTAATGAGCGATTCCCTGGCGCTGGTGTCCGCCTCCTGGACTGCTTTCAACAGACAACTATCGCCAAGCAGGCTGCTTTTCTGGCAGGCCTCGTCAACTTCGAATCCAGTCCCCCTTCGACATCGTCCACAGATATGGGTCCTAGTCCCAGCGCATCCGGTACTTCAACTCCTACATCTTCCGTCGGCTCATTTAATCGACTAGATGAGAAGTTCGCGGTTGTTGGCTTGGCTGGCCGCTTCCCTGGCGCGGACAATGTAGAGCAATACTGGAATCTTTTGATGGACCGCGGCGATGGAATCACTACCGCACCTAATGCAGCAGCCCATGGCGACTTCGACATCGATACGGATGAAGTATTTGTTCCCCGCTATGGCACTATAAATGGCCTAGATGACTTTAACCCTGGTGACTGGGGCCTCTCCGAGGAGGAAGCAAAGACTTTGGACCCGCAGGTATACATCCCCACCCTACGTCGGTTAACGACCTCAACTAAACTCTTTATAGAAGCGCATATTCCTTAATGTAGCATCTGAAGCGCTGATAGATGCCGGCGTCGAACTGTTCAAGAAAGAGGAGAATAAAGTCGGAGTGTTCATTGGTGCTGCTGCCAATTCGTACATTCATGACCCAAACACTCCGGCTCCCTGCTCTGCATTCAAGCGGCGGTATCGGACCCTCCTTGACGAGAACATATCCACGTTCACTTCGTACAAGCTCAATCTGACGGGGCCCAACGTGACGCTGAATACTGCCTGCGCCAGCTCTCTTGTAGCATTGCATGTGGGCTTGAATGCACTCCGTGGTGGTGAGTGCGAGGCTGTCCTCATTGGCGGAACGTCGGTTGTGTACCCTCAGGAAGGAGGTTATATTACATCCCCTGGGCAAGTCTTCTCCGCCAGCGGCGAGTGCCGTCCCTTTGATAGCCGTAGTGACGGGTCCGTTCCATCCGACGCTGTCGCTGCTGTGGTCGTGAAGCCCCTACATGCGGCTGTTCGAGATGGAAACACGGTTTACTCCGTCATTGAGGGGCATGCCGTCGGTACGGACGGCGCAATAGATAAGGCTGGCTTCACCGTCCCTTCCAGCACTGGTCAAGCTCGCACCATCGAGCATGCCATCCAGTCCAGCGGTATCTCGGCAGAGACAATCAAGTACGTCGAGATGCACGGATCGGGTACTAGCATGGGAGACGCGCTGGAGCTTGACGGTCTCCGCAAGGCATTTGACTCCGTCAGTGTACCACATGGCTCCCGCGTCTATGTGGGTTCAAACAAGGGCAACTGCGGCAACTCGGAGACTGCATCTGGCTTGATGAGCGTCATCAAGGCATCTCTGTCATTGGCTCGCGGGGTGGTTCCTCCTCTCCGCGAGCTCGGAGAGACAAACCCTTCATGCGACTTCACCGGCCGATTCCGTCCACTGACAAGCGCCCTGAAGCTAGATGCTGCCGATCGAATCGGAGTAACATCACTGGGTTATGGAGGTACCAATGCCCACATTATTCTTGCCCCGCCGGCGCAGAACCGGGCAGGCCCCATGAACTGATGAGTTATTCTTATTTTGTACTGAAGTGCTGCAAAGCTAGAGCTATAGATATTATCACGAACCTTGCTGTATTTTGAAACAGACCCTGCTTTGGATTTAATGAACCATTTATCTCTCATTCCATGATTTTACCCGAAAGCCTCGTAATGGTACATGAAGAAGGACCAAAAGCGGTCATATAACCTGACTGTAAAAGGCCCTAACAACACGTACGAAGTTCCCGACTGGCTAGGTTTAAACTTTTAAACACGAACACAGCCTGATGGCCACTTCGGTAGGCTTTACTCTATGTTCAAGTAACATGATCGTAAATACCATTGTATCCTCTTCAGGGAGCTTAGGAGTGCGATAGAGGTGCCTCGGCTGTCTTACCTTAACTTCGGCCTTGATCAGTATAGGGTAGTTTTTATGAGCCCCTGCGGTCAGGTGCCATTAATGGGTATGTATAGACACGGTAAATTGTGGGCTGGATTCTTCTGGGATCAGGTCAAAGGATCTGGGGCCTTCCTCATTGTAGGTCAGTGGTATTAAACCAAACTTGCCCAAACCTACTCTCGAGTCTCAAGCTATGGCGAACCCTGTAGTTGACTCTGATATATTCCGCTAGTCGTTCAATATATCGAGACTATCAAACATCCCTCCTCACTTTTCTACTTCAATCGGTGTCGTTAAGATAGTCAACACTAGCGTAATCGGTAAGCACTGGGCACTTTGTTCACACTCCTTATACCACCAAAAATGCCTAAAGCATATTCTCCATTCATTTATAAATGAAATCCCCCTCGGCTCGTGCCGAAGCATCGGGAACTGCCGACCTTGTCGGCCGGGCCGAACGGATTGGCCCTAAACGCTGCCTGGACGTGGTAATGTCGACACCCTCGTCTATAGTTAGTTATTATCGACCTGCTGACACATATGCAAGACTATTCTCATGTTAAATCTCCCCTGCCAAGACATTGGTCAGAGCTGCACCATACCACCTTCTTATTCAGGCTTACTGTCAGGCAACAGGCATGGTATGCTCCTCTATTCCTTCGGCTAGGTCAGATAGGATATTGCTAAATTTTCCTGCAACTAGAGTCCAATGCAATTTCCGGGTCAGCAACAATCTTACGGCTGGTCGCCGTTAAATAGAGGCTATGGCAGCCCATATTGAATTCGTCCTTTATGCAGTACAATCACACTCCTTGAATCTTTTTGTTTACATCACTCGTTGAACTTTTTCATTCACGTCACTCCTTGAGTCCTTTTATTCACAATATCTCTTGAGTCTTTTTTTTACATTACTTCTTGCATATTTTCGTTCATATTGTTCCTTGAATCCTTTTGTTCACATTATCTCTTGAATCTTTTTGTTCATATCGTTTCCTGAATCCTTTATTCACATTATCTCTTGAGTGTTCATATTTATATTACTCCTCGAATCCTTTCGTTCACGTCACTCCTTTAGATCAATTTTATAACAAGTGTATCTACACCATGTTCCGTGAACTTGCACTTGTTGCTGCTTCAGCATCTATGGCCTTTGCTGCCACCATCCCCGTTGTCGCCCGGGGCACAGGTGCGGGCGTTACTCCTCACGACCAGTACTCGTCCTCAGTCGGCGTTGTCGGCTGCAAGATCAACACCAACCGTGTGGCCTATTGGCCGAGCGCAGTCGACTGCAACGACATCTGTGTCAAGGTTACCTACAAGGGCCGCTCCCTCAACATCCTCAAGATTGACACCTCTGGCGGCGCGTACGACATCTCGTACGACGCTTGGAACTACCTCGGCTTCGGTAAATCTGCGAAGGACGACCCGCAAACTGGAGGAGCAATTGATATGACGTACAAGGTCGTTGACCCTAGCGAGTGCGCCGATCTCATGGACAACGGCAAGCTGCCCCTCTCGGCAGCCAACAGCATGGGCTTTGTTTCCTCGTGTCTTAGCCAGCCCGACAGTTTTGTCGCCCAAAACCACGTGCTCTACAACATCGCCGACCCTGTCTGCCACTATGGCATCGACGAGGTGTGCACCCTCGACCTCTCTGTCAGCAACCAGCCCTCGTGTCCCAGCGGTCTCGGCAGCACCGCTCGACTGGACGAGCCGGTGTATAACATCCAGTACGGAACCGGCAAGGAGGTTGTCGCTTAAGAGCATTCTCCCTGTCTTGCGGAGAGCTGTATATCCCTGTCTCAATGTACATAACCAAATATACTAGAATGCTCGATATTGTCAACAGTATCACAAACCCAAATGCCCGAGAGGCTGCGAGATAATTTTATCCCGGGTCGGAAAGTTGAAACTGCTATAGGGCGAAGTCTTCTGAGTTGGGTATACTCGTAAAAAGGTTATCCAACCACGAAGAATCATCGGTCAGAGCCTGGGTATCCCCGTAGCACTTTGATTCAAGGAAGGTGAATGGGTGTTAAGGGTAGAGCCAATCTCGAGAATATCCTTGTTCTCTCGTCACTGGTGTAGAACAATCAAAAGGTATGCCACATCAAGCCCCCTTCTATGGCAGTGCTACACCAGATATATCTTACCTGGATCAGCATCGACAATGTATAGCGCAGCAATTTGAGGGATTTTCGACTGTTTCCGCGAGCCGTAGGCAAACGATGCGAAGGGGGATATTGGCAGCGTGATGCCACAGAAAATCCCGGGCTACCATTCGCTGAGCGGCTCGTAAGTCCTCCGCGGCAGGGACAAGGCCCTTGCTGCGTGATGGTGTATTAGTAATTGTTTTATGCCGCCGTTACCGATGCGATACCCACTGAAGTGTCAACTTCCAATACTCGCATTTACGACGAACCTTATAAGATACGAATCAGCCTACAAAATGCCCCAAGACGCGAAGACTGCTATCGAGGAAGGCACGCAGATGTACCGCCCGGGAGGGTTTCACCCCGTGTACATCGGCGATGTATTCAAAGACCGGTACAAAGCCCTCAATAAGATTGGATACGGTGTCTATTCAACAGTCTGGCTGGTGCGAGACCTAGAGCCGGCACAGTGAGTAAATAAATATGAAGTCACGAACAGAAACAATACAGCTAATCCAGACACACAGATCTGGCCCTGAAAATGAGTTCCGAGCTCTCAAAGTGCTCAGCGCTGAATGCTACGAAGGCAAGGAAGTCCCCATCTTCGAACGGGAAATCTTGACCCATCTCCGACACGGAGACCGCCACCAGCTAGGGTACAATCATGTCTGCCATATCCTTGATGACTTTGAGCATCGTGGACCCAATGGAACCCACGTCTGCCTTGTCTTTGAACTAATGGGCGAGACGTTACGGAGCTTCGGCGCCTGGTTCGCGGAAAGTAGACTTCCAAACTCCGTGATGCGGAGGTTCACCATCCAGCTCTTGCTGGTTCTCGATTTTGCTCACGAACATAATGTCATTCATACCGGTATGAGGATGCTGTCCATGTGTTCTGGCTTAGTCAGGTGCCACTATGCTGATATCCTTCCAATTCTCCATCAGATATCAAACCAGATAACATTTTCGTCAAGCTCAGGGACTATTCCTTGATAGAATCCGGTTACCTGGCCGATGTTGCGGTTCCACTGCAGGATCGGTCCGAGGAACAGTACTCTGTTGTGCCCTCAACACCTCTACGCCGCTACTACTTCAACGAAGCTGACAGTAGGCGCGCTGCCGAGTTCGACATTGCCCTGGGAGACTGGGGCGTCTCTAGCTGGACGGACCGACATCTCTGCGGTCTGATCCAGCCCGTGGCCCTCCGATCACCCGAAGTGCTGATATAGGCGCCGTGGGATGCAAGCACCGATTTCTGGAACCTAGGGGCTGTCGTGCTCGAGGTCTTTCAGGCGGTTCGCATGTTCAGCGGGTCGGTCCCCCCGGACGGTCATTATGAGCTCAAGGAGCACCTAGCGGAGATTGTGGACTTGTTTGGGCCCTTTCCCAATGAGCTTTTGGAGAAAGGCAGTGAGAGCCTGGTCCAAAACCTCTTTGATGGTGATGGCTGGATCAAGGACGCGCCACCAATGGATCCGCCGGGACTGGCGTCGGAAGCCTTTATGCCAGGCCTCGACCAAGAGCTCCGGGATGAGTTTGCCTCCTTTCTGCATGCGATGATGAAGATCAATCCCGCTGATCGGGTTTCGGCAGAGGACCTTTTACGACACCCCTGGTTAGACGCACTTTAGAGAAGCTCCGCTGGATATGAGTTGTCCTAGGAGCACGAAGAGAGGATTCCATTTCGTAGCCCTAATATTAACACCACTGATAACATCGCACAATTACGTACTTACAGCATCACTAAACAATTGTAGCCGTGCTATTTTCAAGGCTCTCTGCGGCGAAGTCTGGGCCTCTTATCTTTGAAAGTCACATGGAGCCGTTTTCTGCTGCAGGGACCGGAAAGAGGACGAACTTTGTCGCATTCCTTCCGCATCGCTCGCACTGGGTGCAGCTGTAATAATACTTGGAATGGGATCGACACGCCGGCATTAGTTTCCCGCTGCAGGCGTGTGTGACCCTTGCGTGCAATGTGAGGGATAGGCATATTAACTCGGACCAGGGATCCAGTGGTCCGTATATGTCCCTCCATCGTGCTATAAGTACGATCTGACGCATCCTAGCGTGAGACTGGCTCATAATATCCAATGTACTCCACGATTCGTGGCAGGAGCTGAGATGTAATGGAATATTCAGCATAACCGCATCCAGTCATGCCCTCTCCCCGATAATAAGACTAATCAAACCCCTACTGGTCAATCGCCTGCCTGTTGAACCTCGGCATCACGGCAGAGCAGCCTAGTTTCTTGTCCAGTATGATTGACGAGCATCCATCATGAGAGGCAGAGCATTTAGATGTTGTCTACAGGCGACCGGCAGTCGGCTATAGCAGATTCCAAGGATCGCATATGTATACAATAGCGGCACCCCGTTCATGCAGTGGTATATCCCACCAAGAGATCACAGTAGAGTCAAGCTGCTGAAACCTAAGAATATCTATCTCTTCCCTCGTCGTTCTCGGTGGGCTCTGCCTGTTGACAGCATCAAGATAATAGCCTCTACAACTCGAACCCTCCAAGGTTGTCGAAGTTCGGCTCCTGTCAATGGTATCGAGCAGCAGCGTTAGGTCTGGTACTACTGGCGTGAATCTACATGAAGTTGGCTGTATCGGTCCGAGGCTTAGTGAATGATAAGAGCCAAGTTCACCTAGTGGATGGAGTGAGGTATCGTTCTTTGTAGACCGGCCATTCAATGTCTCCCTTTTCTTTGTCTAGATGCAAGCCACGTGGCCAAAGCGCATAATATGCTGCCCATTTGAACAAACTAGGACCTAATTGTGGCTTTGACTCTCCCAGGCCTTTAATGTGTCCGGAATATGAATGCGCCGTAGCCAATGCTCCTCGGTCGCACAGTCCAGCTCATCTCCTCGCCTTCAGATATCCATGAGCCTGATCTAGTTGTGTTACTAGCTCATCATAATACCAGCTGAAACTAAATGAGCGCCATCGTCCGTTCCTGATTTGACGACGAATAACCGTCCTTCTCTATCATGACGACAATGGAAAGAACAGAATGCAGGGCTGAGAGCTCCGTCCTAAGTCCCGTAGGCCCGGAGCCACCAGTTCGAATCCTGGTCCAAACCTTGACCCATTTGGTTCCTGGTCACCGCAACTTTGAGCGCACATATTTTATATTGAACCGTATATGCCAGCACCGCTGGATCTGCGATTTCAGCACTCCAAAATTCCGCTAAGCCGCATACAATGACCAATTTGCCTTCAACAACCAACGTTGCTTCTTCCTAGTGGATTATGGGAAATCTGAAAATGATGACGATGTGCCTGTACTCTCCTACGAGTGGACGGGAGAATCTCTGTAAGGTTCTGTTTAACTCAATAGCCTTTGTGGCTAACACCAGCCGCGCAGAAAATCACTACCACAGTTAGCCAAAGACCTCAAGATCCAGACCAAACTTAGAGAAGACGTTCCTTTTGATTATATGAACTGAACAAAGTATGAAAAGCTTCCGATACGCAAGCTTGTAAAAACAAAGGCTTCACTGTGAGGAGAATCTTTTGGCATCTGAGATGGATCATATGAGAGAGACCCCGGAGGATTTAGAGTGGCTCAAGGCTCACCTCAGGCCTAGGCTCTGGCGTAAACTTGTGGCTGAGGTCAATGCCAACAAGCCTCCTGGTACCTTAGATATTCAAGAATAACCGTTTTGAATGTTAGTGAGAATCGCGTGAGAGGTATCGGTTCACATGAAAGTGGTAAATCACTGATTTGAGGAGTATTTCGACCGTGAGTAGCGTCGCTATTGCAAGAGACAGGTGTTGCACAGATCATGCGTTACCGTGTTCCCAGAGAAAGCTAATCAAACATCACGATGCACTGGGAGGTAATCATCTAGCTTGCTGCCGACCCCTTCTATTTTCAATTGTCGGTCAGTACGGATCCCATGGTTGGATCGGCTGCGAGGAGCCTTAGACTTCTGGTCCTTGGGGTCCCTCCCTGATGTTTACCCTGAGGGGGTGGACAAAGACTAGCATCTTATTTATCTCAATTACCGACAATCTATATATCATCCTCAGTGTCGGATACCGTCCCTAGCTCTCGCAATTTGAATCAGATCCCCCAATTCTTAACCAGATACATGAAACCCAGACTTGTATAACCCAGTTTAATCGTGGCACTCATGCTGGAGTTTGCAACAAAGCGTAATGACTGTAGACAATGCCTCCAAGAAACCGCGTTTGTCGGGTATTTTGCCTGATAGTTGTCGAATACTCCTTTTGTTGTCTACGTGTATCCTGCCAGACCCGTTCTGATATATATTTTGGGATGGTGCGAGATCACCTGACTTGATCAACGGCGTCCTTCACCCCTGGCGACTTCTTTTAGCGACCAGAACATAGCATGCGCAAGTCTACATGAGATTATTCTACTATCTTTTCTCTCCACAAATTACCACACAGCAAATCTACCACCCTTTCCTTAGGTCATGTTCTCGTCGCTTCTGCGATCTTTGCCGCAGCTTCGGCCGAGATGAAAACCACTGAATTTCTCCACCACTGACTTCGTTGGATACCTGAATGGTACAAGATTGAAGAGGAGACTCTTCCATATTATACCGCCTCACAGTATTATCCAACTGGAATAGGCGAAGTCATCAAGAACCGGTATCAAGTCATCGACAAATTGGGATTTGGATCCACTTCAACTGCGTGGCTTGCACGGGACATGGAGTGGGAACCCTCATGATTTTGATGAATATGGCATATCTGGGATACTTATACACGGCCCTTATAGTAACCGTCGTTATATTATGCTCAAAATATTCATCCAGGCTTCTTCTATGGGTCAACAGGTGGACAACGAGCTCAATATGTATAGACATATGGAAGAAGCGTCAACCAACCATCCCGGTCGTGACGTCATAAAAACATTACTCGATACATTTTACATCGATGGACCTCAAGACAAGCATCGTTGTCTCGTGCATCCCCCATTATGGAAGAGTGTTTTAGCGTTCTTACGCCGAAATCCAGTTGAGAGGCTACCCTCAGCAGTCATCGCAGTGGTTCTTCATCGCCTGTTTCTAGCCTTGGATTATCTCCATACAGAGTGCCAGATCGCACATACTGGTTTGTAGCCCAGCATGTCTCTCCGGCTTTTATAATTCTCGCTTCTTTCCCTATTAGATATGAAGGCCGATAATATCATGTTCGGTTCCTTGTTTACGGGCCAAGACCCCACATTTGAGAGATACCGAAGTCGGGCACACCTGGCCGAGCTGATAAATCTTCTGGGGCCTCCTCCCTCCAGCCTTCTTGCTCAAGCGGAGCTACGAGATAAATTCTTTTCAAGTGATGGTAAGTGCACTAGCTGGTGAAATTTGGTGTCGGAGCTGACTAACGCTACTACAGGTGCTTTCCTCACTCCGGACTTATTGACGGATCCAGTCCCGCTTGAGAAAAGGTAAACTACTCTGGAGGGGAAATTGGAGCGAGAGATGTTCTTACATTTCATGCGTAAAATGCTGCAGTGGGAACCCAGCAAGCGTAGTTCGGCTAAGGAGCTAGCGGAGGATGAATGGATACACAGCCATATGTAAATACCGATCAAGCAGTGAACTCACATGTTGGTATGTAGTGAAGACTGCTTACGTTCCCGCGTGGGTTCTTGAGTTCACAGGTGTTAGGTACGCGAAGGAAAATGACAATTGGGAGGACTAATGGACAACGCAAACCATAAGTGGTCCACGAAGCTGCCCATGCATAGAGTTATACCTTGTAGGATTTATGGGGTACTGGTCCCCGTTGACATCGACAACCAGGCAATAAAATGCCAGGTTGGTCAGTTGGCCCCACCCTACCCCCCACCGGGCCGAGCCTTCGGGACCGGAAGGCGCCCTTCCATCCGATCAACTCTATAAATCCCTACAAAAGCTCACACTGCGAGTCCAGAAATAATTTACACGGTGAGACAACAACAACAACCACAACAACAAAAAAAAAAAAATAAAAATAAAAATAAAAAAAGGAAGAAAACAAGAAATAATAATCTGTACAATCTATCTTATTGTCAAAAGCGGCCTCCCGCGTGACCACCACGCCCTCTTCGTCGAGACTCACGAGAACGGCTCTTCCACCGGCCACATCTACCACGTCAAAGGCAACATGAAGGAAGGCATGAACTTCGAGCACCGGACTGAGCAGCTACCAGAGGATATACCAGGGTTCTATAGCAAGAAGAAGCTAGGTGTGGTAGCGATTGCAGAGTACAGGTGCGTCTTGGGGATTTGTGAGGGCATGCCAGTGCCCAAGAAGCAGTTTCACGGGGCAAGGAGGTTGTATCAGCGGGAGCCGTTGAAACGGTGTCAGGAGTGGGTTGCTGAGGCCGTCAATGCTTTGAAGGGGGAGGGGGGTTTATGAGGAGTAGTAGCTTCGGGCTGGCTTCTTTACACGGGGGGTTGGGGATGTGCTTTTTTTCCCCCAAAGCTATACTGTGTATAGTAGTACTACTACCCCAACCGCGTGTTGTTTAAGTGCGACTGAGCGGACGGGATGCCCCCTTTTCCCCTACATAATGGTCGTATGTGACAAACAAAATTGTTAAAGTTATTCATAATCTACCGTTCTGGTTGGACTTGCCATCTCGTAGACGGCGCGGGTAGATGTGCCCAATGATAGTAAAAGGCTCGTTAGGTGCGCTTACACGTGGAGAGACTCGCTTTCCCATATACTGAAAGGCTCCAGTGCTTAGTCTCCGAAGAAACTATTCTGCAAGCAGCACCGATAGGTTAGTTATACCCTTTTTACTCTGGATTCATCACTCTTCCCCATCCCAAGTGAAAGGGTCCGACATGATATCTAAGACCACGCCTGCCTTCTGAGTCTCCACAGCTAGCGTGGCATACTGCTTTTCGTCCAAATCATCCACATCGATCGGCCAGGATAGGTAGATTTCTTTAAGAGCAGGCACCTGAGAAACCTTCCTGGCGGCAAAGTCACGGAACAGCATACTGAGGGCCTTCTCCCAGCCGTCCATTCCGTGTGAGATCAAGGACAGCCGAGATACCGAAGCAGGTATGAGGTCACCCAGAAATAGATCGAAATAGTTTGATTGGTGTTCTCCTGATGCGTGGAGAGTGCAGGTTGTGATTTCGAGGGGAAGCTCAAGCTTTTCCAGCCGACAAAACCCGCGCATTGACACTTTGCCCGGAGTAATTGAGCCGCGCATTTCATCAATCGAGATAGAAAGCTCCACGAGGTGGCTCCCGGTCTCGCGCTCGATTGCTGTAACAAATCGGCAGAGATCCCAATCCTCAAGGCCACCGTTGTTGTTTGTGGTATGCGAGTATCTCAATGTCTTGAGGTTTGGGGTATGTTTTAGAAAGCCCGCTATGGCCTTGTCATCAATAGAAGCGCTCATAAAGTGAACTGCTTCAAGTGCTTGGAAGCCATTGGGCAGATATGCAGACGTGATGGCCCCATATCCGTCGCCTGTGCCTACGCATCCGAGACCCCAGAAGGACCGAACGTACGGCAAGGTGAGGAAACAAGTTGCCCAATCTAGATGAAAACTTTTATCAACATCACGCGAGGCTGATACCTCGAATCTTGTGACTTGGGCCATGCTCGGCTTGCGGTGAGGGATAGGTGCCCGCCTTGATCGGCGCATAATAACTTCGAGAAGCTTGTTAGTTGCAGCAACTGGTTTCCACTCTCTTGGTAACTTGAGAACCTTAAGATTGGGTAGGAGTGTCAAAACAAAAGCCGCAGCATGTTGTGAATAGCGGGCGGCGTCAAGATCATCTTCAATGGCTGCGTAGTATTCCTGCCATTCAAGGCCTGCTTCCCGTAAGTATGAAGACTCAGCTAGCAGTTTGGTCACAGCTTTATCACGACTGGCATCGGTGGCAAATGTGCGGAATATGCCCGTGGTGAATTGACCGTCTTTCTCAAAATCTGCCTCTCCAATGTAGTGGGCTACTGTCGGCTCGACCGCGATGCGTGCAATCAAATTAAAGGCAGAGCAGGCTGTGTAGGGAAGGCTGAGCAAGGACAGCTTATGCTGGACCATTAGATCTGTCTTGCCGTACTCAAACTTCTCGAAATGCCAGCGTAGTCGATTGTGGTGCTTAACATGCGGAGTACAGAGTGCATACAGATGCTTGCAGGTTAGGGCCAAGCTCTCAAACCCCTCCGGCAAGGAGTGTAGGATAATATTTTCGAGGAGCTCATTTGGCAACTGCGTGAACACAGCCATGGCAGTGCTAGGATTTGGATGGAAATGACCACAGGCGCGAGGCGAAATTCCCTTTGACCATCCGACGAAACACTATCAAACACCGAGCGGCGCGGAAGAATCACTACCAGAGTCACCTGACAGTATTTGCCTACTGCAAACAAAAGCTGCAGAATACTACCTTAGTAAGGGGCTGGGGGGATTTTAGCGTGTGGGATAGGACCCACCAACACACCAGCTGCGGTCCCGCGGAGTATAAGTATCCTCCGAATACGCATCCAGATTCCACGCAAGGAGATCGATCTTAAACGGCCCCCAAATTGTCAGTCGATCCTGCCGGTCTGGGACATGTGTCAATCTGCATATGCCGCTGCTTCTTTGCAGTTCGGACCCGACTTGCATCCGACCGTAGATCTTGAAGAAAATCCTTGGTGTATTTTGTCAACATATTGTATACCTGGGAACCGGTGCTTCGCCCAGGCGATGTCCATAAAAGCCAGACCGGTCCCGTTGATGCTGGAGGAAATCAGCTCAGTGCAAAGTCTCTCATTATTTTCCATTGCCATTGCTTAGCAGATCATATTCCATAACGGAGTAACCTGCCCACCATGCATATACTCCCTTACATGTTACCCGTTTTCCTGACGGCGTCGGCAGCCAGCATCGCCCGCAGTACAACGGAGCATGTGGACGATATCATGGTGTACCGTGACGGGCCTACTGCCGATGGATCGGCAGGCATCGGTGTCGAGTTGGAGAGTCCATTCTTCAAATTTGCACACCCAGGCTGTTCGATGGACGACACCAACGCGGCAAAGAAAGCAGTGGTTGACAAACGTCAGGGCACAAACTGGTTATTGACGGCCGACACGGGGGTTGACCCCGGAAAACTCAACGCCGAGTTCATTTTTGACGGCCAAAAAATCAAAGTCGGGACTGGAGAGCTTGCAAAGGCTGGAAAAGCAGCAGCAGACGATCTGGTAAGAATTGCATGAAGCCCCATCCTAACTTCTGTCCTATTAATCCGCGTCGCCAGATAAAATGGTACCCTTGGCAAAAACCGCAGACTGAGGTTCAGATTACGAATAACAAGTGCAACCCATGGAAAATTACTAGCCCAACCAGCAAAGATAAACCAGACATTGTGCCGTGGGACCCTCAGGTCACTGCGCCAATGCCCCTTGAGGCACTGTACAGCATTATGCAGATGCATAAGAACAACAAGGCCCACGTTCTCAACGGGATTATGCTTAGAACAGACTATTTTATCCTCGTTACAAAGCAATACTTCACCCCTGTCAAAGAAATTAAGCCGGCCGCGCTTTCTGATGACGTGCTTGCATTCTGCTCCTTGGTCTTATCATATGCGAAATCCTTGGACGGCAAACCACTTAAGCCAGACGAGAGTCCTAAGCTGCGCACGCCCTTTATGCCTCGAAATGATTTTGTGACACTCTACAACCAAGTCGAGTCAAAGCTCAAGGGGATTCCTCTTTTGCCTCTTTTTGAGAAGCTCGCATGCTACAAGGTGTCAGCTGGCAAGCTTGCGTAAGTAATGTCACATCTCCTCTTGCTCCGTTTGCCCAACTGACAGATTGCAGGCTTGACAAGAAATTCTGTACCGGGACGGCCAAGGCTCCAGTGCCGAATAAGGAGTTTGCCGGCCTCACGTTCAAAAATACGGCTTCCAAGTCTCCTGACGCCACCCTGACCGTCAAGGCCTGGATTGAAGGCATTGCCGCCAAGAAAGACTTGCTTACTGCCTTTGACAAAACTATTGACGGTTCAATTGGAGGCCTTGGATCCAAGACGGAGAAGATGTACCAAGGGACTCGCAATGTGCCTTTGTTCGAATTCCGAGACCTTAAGGACATCAAAACTTCCGAAATCGAGAAGTTTATGACTCAGGTCGACACGGCTGTCCAAGATCTCCACAAAAAATACAAAGTCGCTCCTAAATAAAGTCCGCGATCGCACATCAGTGGAATCCTGCTCCTTGGATTGAAGGCGACCGGCGGTGGGGGGAGATTCGGTCCCATAGATCTTTCTTATAGTGGCTGTATTATTATTAGAATTGTTTGTATTGTATTATAGTTACATATATTAGAACATTTATATGGAAACCTCAATTTTATAATTCCATAATCCGTGGGACCCTCTTACAGGATTAATTAATCTTTTCGCTCGTGCTGCCGTAGTGACATAAATAAATGGAATATACACTCCTATATGAGCCCAAATTTCTAGAACAACTGTAGATATTCTCCTCTATCCATTGTCGGTCTAGTGAGGGTACTCAGTCTAACAACCAGATCCATGGAACAATAGACCTAGGTATTTCTGGGCCTATTCCTGCTAGCCCACGTCAAAAATTGATGGAAAAATTTGAACCCCTTCCAAGGTTAGTTATACACTGCACAAGCCACGCACTAATAGTAAGTCCAATCAGAGGCCTTCGGAGGCCTTCGCAGGCGTTCAGGGGAAGGATTGAAGATAGGGCGGTACTGGTGCTAAACCCGTATCAGCTAAAGAATAGAAAAAAGTATAATGGAGATATACGTATTGCAGACTGGATTCGCTAGTGGATTGGGCAGCATTGTACTGTTTCTTTCTGGCTAGATAAAACCTGCCGGGGTAGAATAATTACCTACGGATATCTAACAGTACTCCAGACAAAACCATGCACTATATAGCCTTGTTATATTTCCCCTCAGGCATTGACTAGGGGATTCTGCCTTTGCATTAGACGAGTATAACAGAACAAGAATTAATCTCAGTATTAGATTCTGCTATCATGGGTTCGAGGTTTATCCTCTACTGATTCGCCTACGTATCCTTACCTAGTTGACAGGCTGTGTACCGGGTGTAAATGTCGATAAAGCTGCTCAGTACCGCCAATGGTTGTAGATATCTATGGTCGTAGAGTGAACCAGCGATCAAACTACTAGATAGAAGGATCAAGGCGCAGATAGTTCAAACCCAAGAAATTCTTGATCTCGACTTGGAGGAAAGACCCTGCTGTTGTCAGTTGGCTAAGAAGGTACCAAACGATAGCAGTCTACCCCTGTCACTGATCAGTAAGCGCTGTGCTGTTCCTGTAGCACTTTGTTTTGCATGATGAATAATAACATTGGACTAACTAGGTCTTGAGGACTTGTGTCCATTGTTGTGTGGTTACAAGCCGTTTCTTCATGGCCGAGGTTTGTCTTAATCCATGTGATCGACTACTTGAGGGTAAACTTGGCGATGGGTAAAAGAACAAAGAGGAGACTTTGTTTTGAGAAGGGGCCATAAAAGAAATGGGGAAAAGACAAAGAACAGAAAAAGAAAGGGCGGGTGAGGGGAAGCTGCTTTTGTAAGCCAGAAGAGAAGCCAGCAAAGTGGTTTTCTTTGCTCCATTGCTTCTTCTGTGTTCCTTTCGTCACTGTATTTCAACTCCGACCTCTCATTTACTTTTGCTCTCATATGCCAAGCACCCCCAATGTATTCTCGATGTTATAGTTCAAACCAAAGTATTGTTAAAGCTACTTGGATATACATCATGACTACTTCTCCTGCCACGAGTCTGTGTCAAGCTTTGGATTTTCAGCCGTCCAGCGGCCCCTTAACCACGCTGTCGCTCCCCTCAGACATTGGCATTGGTAATGGTACCTAACAGACATCCTACCTCCTCCAGAATTTTCCTTTTTGAGCGCAGACTGACTCGCCAGGCTGGGTTACAGTGACAATTGGAGGCTACGTGATCGGAGATAACACCGTCGGCTTTGTGATTGACACAGGTCGCAGTGTGATTTTGTCGAAGCTTTCGGGTAGTGCTGAGAAGACTTTATATCTCAAATTCTGAGCTACGGCCCAAGAGAAGTGAATTGTTTCACCTCGAATACCTCATAAATCAACGAGAACTACAATTTATTGGTAAATATTAACAACGGTCTTTGAACCTAGATCAGATGTGATCTAGACTTGGCGGATGATCTTCTAACCATACTACCTAAGAGTTGAGGAGTCACACAAAGCTGACCGATCTACACTTGTGATCTGCCTCCCATATATCTAGAAGACTGTACTGCCTTTCAACTGCGGCTCTTGTTAGAATATCAGCGAAATGCCACTATGGCGATATTAAGCACTACTATCCTATGGCAAGTGGGAAATATCACATAGTTTAACTGACAAGCAGTCATTTAAATTCTTGTTATAATGAGTAATTTAGGTGATAATATCATCTAGACACTGATCGGCATAGCCAAGGCCGCAGCCTCCATCGATGGAACACAGTAACCCACAGTGCCACCTCAGATCTCGTATTGAGTGCGGTATACTCCATACCTTTCACACGATTGTCCACACAGCTATTACCATTTGGATTGAAAGTTAGATATTACCCAGGATACGTACAGCCAACAGTCTAAAGTCCTACGACTCTTAGCAAAAGTACACTGCTCTTCAGGCGAACGGACGTTGATCGAAGTAGATGACTAGGAAGGAAATATCATCTCCTCTCACCTTCTTAATCTGTACGTGTGGTTGATGTGACATTTGAACGATTACGTTTGCTTCGCGGGGAGAAAGTGCCTTGCTAGCGGGGCGCTAAGGATATAAGTTCTTGTAAACTACACCAGCGATATTGCCTACTAGTGAACGAAAAAAAGAAAACGATGAAGGCAGCATACATTATCTGCATAAGCATTTCCTCTGGATATCTACTGCAACCCCCCAGATCAACCCATCGGCTAGTCCCACTCCTTACGGCACTACAAACAATAGAAATGTGTTAATATCTGAGTCAAGAACTGTTCAAAATCCCCCAGGCCAGATGAACAACATACACATATTACGCAACGTGGATTGTGCACTGAGCAATCACTGCACTATTAATCACACCGTAACAATCCGTGATTAAGTAGTCTTTCCTTCCAGTACCATATAAGGATCTTCGGTCGTTTCATATGACCTGTAAATATACTAACAAATTCGCTTGCTGTTCCAGCTTATTCACGCTGGATGAGAGACGCCTTTTGGAATCCCGTTACCACCTTCGTCCTTGCACGGCAATTTCGCATTCCTAAACGAAGACTAAAAAACAAGGTCAACGTTTTCTGTTGAGCCTGAGTGTGGAGTGGTTCAAATCGACATAATTCAAACTCTCTAATTGAAAATCCATTGCATATATTGATTCTAGGTCATTTTAGAAGGAGGTCACCCAGCCTCGTCACCTTCGGGATCCGTCCCTGCCACCATATCACAACAGCAGTGGTGATCCCGCCCAGAGTCAGGGCGGTGAGAGTCACGTTGCGCAGACATTGCACGGAGCGCTTTTTGATGAGTTTATTTGCGCGCTCGGCGTAATCGCCGGGATTATTGGTCCGGGGAAAGGGCTCGTTCGGAACAGGCTTGTCGAGAAACTATTTCTATCGTTAGCTATCGTTTTGAGAAAAATCCAGATTATTCCAAGTCATACCTTGCAAAGCGGCTCCCAGCCATCCTCGACGGACCACTCAAGCAAATTATCCTTAGCCACCATCCCCCGGACCATATTGCAGTGGTCGCGATACACCCACTTTGCGTTGCGCTGGATACCGTCTTTGGTGGTGCCGCTGTGAAAGATGCCGGGATATCCATCTCTTAAGTAAAGACTGTACAGCCAATGAAACTCTGCGGAGAACCACTGCATCGCCCACATCACCCATGATTGATCGGCCTCTTCGATGATAGTTTTATTGATGCTCCGGTACCAGGCGTTGGAATCGGGACGCACGTTGAGGACCACCTTGGCGTCTGGGTAGGCGGCGAGCAGCTCGGGAGCAAATAAAATACACAATGAGTCAACCACCGCTTGACTATCACCGACGAGAATGTCGAACTCCGCGCTACTAATGTGCACGTCGCCATCGCGAGCCCCTTTGTATTTCCGCCGCACTAGCTCAGCACAGAGTTGCAGCTTGCTGCCATCTGGCTCGAAGACCAAGTCCCAGCCATGATATGTCTGCAGGCCCAGAGTTCGCAAGGCCACGCTTAACGACTCGGTTCCGGTGCGTGGCAAGCCCAAGCAAAGCACCTCGACGGGCTTGGTGCGTTTGTGCGGAGCCGGCTCGGGGAATCCGTAGAGTAAACGTTGGAGGGCGTACATTGGGGCTCCAAAAAACATAAAGCTGACGTGAGCTTAGGAAGAACCCTGGGAGAGGGCTTCCACATAATAAGTAGTAGCTATGGTCGGCCGCATGATTCTTAGAGCGGGTCGATTGGGGGGCCTGAGTATGGGCTTGGGGGCCTGATGTTTGGGGGTCTGAGCATAATTCCCCTTGCTTTGTATCGATTTTACCAGACCTTCTTTATGAAAAGAGAAATATAGATACATATATATTTATACGAGAAGATTTTGGTGTGTTTTCATTATGCAGCGATTCACTAAACCCTGAGATAAAAGGAGATTTGACCGGGATGGGTGGGTAAGAGCAAGAGTATGGTGCTTTGAATGCTAAGCAACTTGGGCGATAACGCGTGGGTAATGTGGAACCACCAGGCAGAGACTGATTGGTGACGGCAGCACACGAACTAGCCAATAAAAGCTATCCTGATGGCCAAAGTGCTGCTAGGAGAACGCAGGATCGAACATTCATGACGGTAAGAAGTCTGGTTCCAATTTACACACTACTTTAGACGGTTAGCAAGATCTCCAAGCTATACCGACGCCCTCTCAAGTTTCCCAATACCCGGTAATGAACTGCTGTTGCGGGTCTCTTTAGTAGCATTGACGAAGCCATCGTTGCTCACGATCTTGAACAGTACCACTAGCTGCTCTTTCCAATCCCTGGCCTGCCACGAAACGTCTTGTCTTAATCTTAACTGCCTTATACTTACTCATTGTCGGATGTTTCTTCATTCAGCAGAGGAGCTACAAGAACCCTGGTGCATACTAGATATTTTTGACACTGAGCCTCTTCAATTCTGAAGAGAGTACTAAGCCAATTTCCCTGCAATCGCTGCTCTTCCTTGTAATTATGTTGTCTAATGTCCACTAGTAGGGGTTAGGATTAATACTTAGGACACTCTTGATATCTGGCTATAACGCTAAGTTTTTCATGCCGTCGCAGCTTTCATAAGCATCCCCAAGATCTCGAGGTCCTGTCTAGCATCAGACGGGGTAGTTTTTGGCATCTTCCCCTCTGCGACCCATTGGTATACCTCTTTTAGCTGGAGCATGAAAGGATCCTCGTATGTCCGCCGCGTAGTGGATTCCCTATACGACCCGTCTGGTAAAGTCTCCTTAACCACCATTGTTGTCGGTAAACCTTTGATAAATGGGGAATCGATGCACATCTTCACGGTCTTTGCGTCACCAAAAATCTCTATCGAGGCGTCGAATCTTGCGACCTGATCGACACCGGACTCGTATGCAACCGCGAAGTTAGGGTATTGGAAAATTGCACTGTCATCGTTAGCCTAGCCAAGACAGTGTTTGTCTCTAAGTAAATTTCACCTCCAAAATGGGGACCCGATAGTGACACAAGGTGAGAATCCTACAACACCTTTGGGCATACCCATAATCTCCCGCATGGCACTCAGATCATGTGAACCGAGGATAGAGAGCATCTCCCACATTATATTCGTCTCCTTTGTGACGGTGATTCCAAGCTCCGTTTGAAGGGCTTGCTCTATGTCGTCAAGTGTTTTTGTACGTAGCGTTTCGGAATCCGCCTCGCGATAATCGTTAAATATCCTTGGATACGTTCCAGATTGCTCCACGAAGACAGAATTTGGTCCGATAATATCTCGGACACGAGCATAACGTATTTGTCCGATTGTTCCAACCTCTTTGACTGCGTCGACAAAAGCTGCAGCGTATCTCCTCATGTAACCAATAAATACTCTGGAGCCACCTGCCGCCTTGTCCGCAGCTATAATACGGTCCGTATCTTGCAAAGTTAGAGCTATTGGCTTCTCGATAAAGACGTATTTCTTTGCTTGCAGCGCGAGTACTGCGTCGGATGCGTGGAAAGCATGATTATTTGCTATCAATACTAGTTCCACTTCCGGCGCATTGCAAAGTTCTTCGACATTTCGGGTAGACTTAGGCCTCGAGTTACCTGCGACTTTGAGCTGACTATGTCTCATAGCTTCCTCAGAGGCATCGCAAAGGTATGTAACCTGAAATAGATGGGACAAGGAGTTCAGAGAGGGCACATGGACGACTTGCGTGATCATACCACACCTACAAACAATTAGCACGCCTTCTGACTGGGAAGTGTTAATCATTCCAACCGACCCTATGATACCAACTTTGACGATACGGCCACGTGGCGTAGCTTCGGTAGACTTCATGCCAAACATTTTCAAGATTGAGGAATGCTCTAGGACGCTCGAAACCTTTCTTATTCGTGTATAGATTCAGCGTGAGAAAAGGAAGCAAATACTCAAGTTGATCTTAGGTTTAATTGTATCTCTTTCTTCCGTACAGAGACACTAGACGTAGATGAGCATGCGGATTGAAGATTCGGGTTCTCGTGTCTAGTCCGATCGCTCCGGATGGAGCGGAGATAGTAGTGCCCGTCAAGTACTCGCTGGTTGACATAGTTTCTGGACGAGACAGGCTTCCAAGGTAATAGGAAATGCACGGACCTACGCTCGATGTGGAGAAGGGTCTCTTGGCTAGCTAATCTTTTCAGTCCTACCTATACCATTTTTGAACAGCAAAGCGCGTTGGAAGTTTGATGACAATTTCATCGTTTCCTTAAGTTGAAATCCGTTAAACCTCTTCGTAAGGGGGTCAGATATTCAATCCCTGTACTGTCTTTGTGGGCTTCAGTACAGCCATAACAGTTTATTTTGGCTGCGTTGAGAAACGGCAATGCACTTAACCAGAAGTTCTGATATATCTTGCACCTCCCTTTTTAGCGGATAAACAAGGGTATCTTACACCCTAGTATATGGGATCTCTGGGGTCGAGGTTGGCCTTCCGCCCCCCCATTGGCCCAGGTTTGGTGTTCCCGCGTGCACCCGGCATGGAAAGTGCGTGGTAATGCATCCACGTCCGCTCCTTTTGTTTAGTCAGCGGTCTTGCTCCCTCTAATCCAGAAGGGGTGAAAACTTAAATATTGGTGTTTTGATAGTAGGGCTTCCTATCTATAGTAAATTAATTAGGATTTTCTATTTAGTAATATATAGATTTTTATATTTTAATTAAAAATTATAATTATCCTTAATAAATAGAATTATATACAATAAATATTAATTAAAATATAGAATATAAACTAGTCTTAACTTATTTTAAAATTAGAAATTTAATAATATATAATTATTAAAGTAGATTAAAATCTATTATTTTATAGTATAATAGATTTAAATAAGATAATTATAAACTAGTAAAATTTTTTAATTATTTAAAAACTTTTTTTAATTATA